GCAAGAGCACGCTCTGCCCGCTTTTGTGATTCATACATGTCGAGCTATTAGAAGTAAGCACGTCGGTCCGAGGTGCGGCTGGCACGAACAAGACCCCGTCCAAGGCGGCCGATCACCTGAGAGATGTTGAGAGAGGAGACGGTTTTGGACAAGGTGCATTTATGTAAATGAGTGTTCTACAATGTTCAACAAAGGCTAACCATGGCTCACCGATTTCGGCTTCGGTAATGGGGCACCTGCATGAAGGCCTCAAGCTTCTGGGACAGCCTGCCCAAGATCGCACATGGCTTAGAGCGAAGGCTGGTGGCAGTGACAAACCGAACTAGCAACTAGCAGTCGCACCACATTACTGTGGGGCAGTGGAAGTGAACTCCGAGGTCGAGCGGATCTTCCAAGAGAAGACCGAACCAATTAGCAGTGGACCCAGGAAGCTTTCGGAAAGACAGAAGGATTCAACAAACATCCACCTTAGGATCTGGTTCTGATAAGCCTGGAGGCAGCGCAGGGATCTGGTGTGCTTTTGTGGCAGATCAGCAGAGATTCCAAAGCATTCAAAGCTGTCACTAGCGGAAGCCCAGAACTACGTGCATGCAGGCCGCACATTTTGCACGTTCGCGTGTCTGTATGAAAGTCTCCAAGAGTTGCCATGGGTGCACGGAAGAAGAGAGCGTTAGTTCAAGCAGAGAGTGAAGGCCCATGCTCAGGCCCTGAAGTACTGCTGCTGGGAGAGGCCAACTTTTCCTTTGCCTTGGCTTTGGCGGCTCTGCTCGTTCCGCCCAAGGAGGAGAAGCAAGGCCAGCAAGCCTTGGCTCCGGATCTGCAGGCGCAGCTCCAGGCAAAGCTTGAGGAGGGTTACCAGGAGAGGCTCCGCGTTGCCTCGGCCTACTTGCACCTGCCTCCAGACATCTGCCGAAACTTACGGATCACTGCAACGTGCTACGAGACCTACCCGGAGCACAGGTTGCAATCGAGCAGAATCGATCATATTGCCACTGCCGCAATGCCCCTTTTTCTCTTGTTCTTGGGTTTACCTCTTTTATTTGGAATGTTTTGGAACATTTTGGAACTGAGGAGTTGGTTGAGAAATACCCGGAAGCAGCCGGCATTCTCTCACGGCTTCGTGCCTTCGAAGAGTGGGTGGAAGTAAGGTTTGCTGTAGATGCTTTGCGGCTTGCAGAGTGCTTCAAGGGCAAGTGGGATGTCGTGGCCTGGAACCATCCGCATCTTGGCACAGAGGATCTTAAGCTACATGGTTACTTGATGGCCCATTTCCTGAACGAAGCAGTCAGATCTCTGCGCCCGAACGGGGTTGTCGTATTGGCACTGCTGGAAGGCCAAGAAAAGCGATGGGAGCTCCTAAGACATGCCTCTACACAGGGGTTCGATGTTCGTGAGGCCGGGCCCTTTGAAACCGCAGCCTTCCCTGGCTACGAATGCAAGCGCAACAGCTCCGGGAAATCCTTCAAAAACTCACATGTGCAACGCACCACAAAAGCACCGATGGAGAGCTGGCTGTACCACCTGCACCTGGGTGCTCTTGACTCACGTGACTCACGTGAAGCTGAAGAACTTGAGCTCCAAGCGGCACCAGAAGCTGCAAGACCATCCCGGCAATCTCGACCATCTCACAAGCCTGAGTCTTCTGCTGTACTCCGATGCACGGAGTGTGGAAAGGTGTTCTCATGTACACAGGGTTTGAAGACCCATGTGAGACAGGTCCATGAGCTAAAGAAGTATGACCGGTCTAGAGGCATACTGAGTTGCCAGACATGTGGCAGGGCTTTCCAAGACTCAGAGGCCTTAACTCAGCACAACCTGGCGGCCCACAGCGGTGACTCAGTCGGCCGAAGCAGGCCAAAAGTTGGCTATGGCTACGATGGCCACAGAGCTTGCCAGGTTTGTGGCATGATGCTGCCTTTTGGCACCTCCAACGCAGCCCATTTGCAAGCCTTGAGACCCGCAGTGGACCTTCCTGTCAGCTGCCCTTGTGGCCGCTCCTTCGTAGAGCCCCGGGCCTTGGAACAGCACCAGCGCTTCTGTTCGACTGCAGCCTCCGCATCCGCACAGTCAGCAAAGCCGGCTTTTGCTGCCCACCTAGCGGCACTGCTGCGAAATTTATGTCCCTGCTGTGACGGCATGCAGAAAACAGGGCTCGTGTGCATTGGAACACACTTGTTGTACCGGCATCATGTCTCGGGCTGTCCAGTTGTTCACGAGATGCTTGCAGTAGGAAGTCTTCAACGTTGCGAGGGTTCATATCCTGCAATTCACACATGGTCAGCATCTTGGTCCGTAAGGCCTGTGCCTGGGCTTTGTTTGGAATTAAGTCGGTTCGGTTGGTTGGTGCCTGCGTAAGAAAGCATCTGCACCCACGTGGAAATCACTGTACCCACGAATGCGCGCCTCAACCGTGTAGAATGGTATGGAAGTGCAAGCACAGCTTCTAGCGCCCCCCTTCCAAAAAGAACTCCGCAAAACTCTCCTTAAAAGCTGTTGGTTCTTACTTGCCGGTGATTTTTCGATCGAGGATGAAAAGCAAGCAGGGTCCGCTGTTTGAGGTGCCGTGCACAGCTGATCCCAATATATCCCAACACACTTTCCTGACAGGGATACCTCGGAATGCCCTTCGTGAAAGCCGCTCAGGTTTAGAGACTTCGCAATGCTGCACGCTGTTCTTCGTGGAGGACTGCCGGTGCAGAGAGCGACCCTGTAGGTGCTCTCTTGACATCTCTGCCACATGCTTGGCGAGTAATCAAGCTGCATGAGGCTTGGACCATAGAGACCGAGACCAAGCCTTTTGAGATCCCCAAAAGCTTGGAAGGCCCTGCTGGACTTCGCAAAGGCCCTGCCAAAGCGCAAGGCAGGTGGAACTTGCAATTGCCATGTTTTCTGTCCTGCTGCAATAGTGTTGCAATCTTGACCCTCTTGGGGGATAGCACTCGGCTTCGGTGTTCCATGACCAAGGAAACATTTCAACGGAGGCACCCCGCACATTGCAGGATACGCGTTGTTCTTCACCATTTTTTCGCTGCAAAGCGTGTGCGGTCAACGAAATGACATGGCTGGACTTGCAGTCACATTTACGACAAGTTTATGCCCGTTCTTTCGGGGTGTTCTTGCGTCGAGATCCGGCCATGCCCTTGACGACAAACTCTCGGCTTGACAGCTCAGGCTGCTGATGGCTTGAACAACTTTAATATACTCCGAGGCCAGCCTGGTGTGGTGCTTCGTATCACTTGGCGCGCATGGAAGGCAGGCGCCCTCGAACTTTGAGCGCCACAGGTCTTGTGTGCTTAGTGGGCGATCCTCTGACGTGCAGCAGCGAGCTTGTCCCGTGATGATCGATTTTGCCTTGACAGCTATGGCTGAATGAGGGCCACAGCAACTTTAACCATACGCTCTGAAAAGAGTTGCCCATTTTCGTGCCTTCGGCGAAACCACGACTTGAAAGTGCTCCTCCTTCGGGTGTTCTTGCGTCGAGATCCGGCCATGCCCTTGACGACAAACTCTCGGCTTGACAGCTTAGGCTGCTGATGGCTCAAACAACTTTAATATACTCCGAGGCCAGCCTGGTGCGGTGCTTCGTATCACTTGGCGCGCATGGAAGGCAGGCGCCCTCGAACTTTGAGCGCCACAGGTCTTGTGTGCTTAGTGGGCGATCCTATGGCGTGCAGCAGAGAGCTTGTCCCGTGATGATCGGTTTTGCCTTGACAGCTATGGCTGAATGAGGGCCACAGCAACTTTAACTATACGCTCTGAAAAGAGTTGCCCATTTTCGTGCCTTCGGCGAAACCACGACTTGAAAGTGCTCCTTCTTCGGGTGTTCTTGCGTCGAGATCCGGCCATGCCCTTGACGACAAACTCTCGGCTTGACAGCTCAGGCTGCTGATGGCTTGAACAACTTTAATATACTCCGAGGCCAGCCCGGTGTGGTGCTTCGTATCACTTGGCGCGCATGGAAGGCAGGCGCCCTCGAACTTTGAGCGCCACAGGTCTTGTGTGCTTAGTGGGCGATCCTATGGCGTGCAGCAGTGAGCTTGTCCCGTGATGATCGATTTTGCCTTGACAGCTATGGCTGAATGAGGGCCACAGCAACTTTAACTATACGCTCTGAAAAGAGTTGCCCATTTTCGTGCCTTCGGCGAAACCATGACTTGAAAGTGCTCCTTCTTCGGGTGTTCTTGCGTCGAGATCCGGCCATGCCCTTGACGACAAACTCTCGGCTTGACAGCTTAGGCTGCTGATGGCTCGAACAACTTTAATATACTCCGAGGCCAGCCCGGTGTGGTGCTTCGTATCTCTTGGCGCGCATGGAAGGCAGGCGCCCTCGAACTTTGAGCGCCACAGGTCTTGTGTGCTTAGTGGGCGATCCTATGGCGTGCAGCAGTGAGCTTGTCCCGTGATGATCGATTTTGCCTTGACAGCTATGGCTGAATGAGGGCCACAGCAACTTTAACTATACGCTCTGAAAAGAGTTGCCCATTTTCGTGCCTTCGGCGAAACCACGACTTGAAAGTGCTCCTTCTTCGGGTGTTCTTGCGTCGAGATCCGGCCATGCCCTTGACGACAAACTCTCGGCTTGACAGCTTAGGCTGCTGATAGCTTGAACAACTTTAATATACTCCGAGGCCAGCCAGGTGTGTGCTCGTGGCGTGGCAGCTATGCGCAAACCGGAAACGAGCCCGACAGCGAATACTTAAGGTGCCAGGAGTTAGATGCTTGATCCGATATTTCGATTCGTTTTGTTGCTGCGCTTTTTGACTGTCATATCACTTGGGTCAGTTGGGGTGGAGACATTTTCGATTAGCAAAGCAAAGCTCGATGTGTTTTAGCCGGCTTGAGATATACAGAACCAAGCAAGTCGCCGCAAGTCGCCTGTTCAGGCCATGATTCTTCAAGTAACCTAGAATTTTGACTTTGTGCATCTGCTTTTGGCTCTGAAGTAGAGGCTGACAATGGACCTCTGCAGAGTCGTCCCTGATTAGGCGGACAAAGCCAGCATGTCTTCGCGAGGGACCAAGCGACCGGTCTCTGTCTCGGACGCTTTCCGGATGGAAGAGGAGACGTCATTTGTGCCCAAGGATGCAAAGGTTTCGCGAAATCTGGGATCCCAGTCGGGCCACCCGGATCCCTTGCGGCACGATGGCTCCATCTCCACGCCGGTTGCCGGCTTGCCCGGCTCGGAGAAGTGCGAGAACGAGGCTGAGGCTCTGGCAGTCACGCGACGCACCTCCTTCGATCACAAGGCAGAGGCTCCGGCGGTGAGCCGAGCCTCCTTTGACCAGAAGGCCATGAGCGTGAAGTCAGCGAGCCCAACCAGTGAGAAGCGGCCGGAAAAGGCCAAGCAGGGCTTTTTCGTGTGCTGGCTGTGCAAGCGCAGGTTTGACACCTACGAAAAGTTCGACTCCCATGTGCTGTACAGCAGGCTGCACCAGGAAACAATCCGACAGCTTGCAGGACTCGCGTAGGATGTCCACAGGCCTAGCATGCTTGATCCTTACAAGAAGATAGATGCTGCCAAAAAATGTCGCCGCATGCAACAGTTCGAGTATCGCTCAGGAAAAAACAGGAGCCTGCATCTTGACCCGACAACTTCGCAGACCCCTCGACCATCAAATTCCGAAAGCCTTAGGCCGCTCTTAGCCCATTGCCGCCTCCGATGTTGAAGCGCCTTAACCTGTGAAGTCCCGTGAAGCGTTGAAGCGTTTCACTTGTGCTGGGAGTGCCTTTAGCCAGGAGCGCAGTGGCCCAGACGCCAGGCTTGGAGCTGTGGAAATGTGGCGACTAAGACTCTTCATGAGAACATCTCCGAACCATGCCCAGGTCCAACGCAGACTCCAGCGGCGCTGCAGCCTGAGCGAGGACATGACATCTCTTCCGCAGCTTTAGAAGATTTTGGCAGATTTCGATCTAGAGGTGTCTGGAAAGAGGGAAGGGGTCCGAGTCGCGTTGAGGTACTGTGATTTGGCGCAATGTCCGCAGTTCGGACATTCGCTGAAGACGGAGGGGTATCAGCCATGCCAGTGCTTCCGATGTCCTCAGCCCTCCACCAATGACCAGCTGATGCTGCCGATCAGCGTCCGCTTGCGTCTCCGGCTTTGCAGCACGGTAGCTTGAGTAGCGATGCCGACCGTAGGTGGTTGCATGTGCTGCCAGGTGTGTCACATGCTCAGGTTACAAGCCTTCAGCAGTATTCGGTGAGGGTTCTGCACCGTTGGGCCCCCTACACACACTATCAGCCCGAATGGTATTCTGTCAGACTCTGGGCCAGCTTAAGAAGTAGTGGTCGAGAGAAAACATGTCCATTGATACATGAACAATCACAACAGAGAGGGCTGTTAGCTGTTGGTACGTGTGTGTGTGTGTGAGCGAGAGAGAGAGAGAGAGAGAGACTGTGTAGTGTGTGTGTGTGTGTAGGAAAAGCTCTGCTGTTTAAGGCGCCGCATGCCAAAGTTTCAAAGCCGGAGCTCTGATGGCGACCTTGACGGCCCTCACGGCCTCCGTCACCCGCCATGAGGCCGGGCTCCACGTAAAGTTCGAGAATCTGGCGGGGAAGACCGTGTGCGAGGTGAGCCTGGCTTCGGGCTCGACCTTGGAAGACCTGGAGAGCCGCCTGAAAGCTGACTTGGGAATAAGGACAACTCAGGTCGATGGAGGGACAGTAGATGACGAGGCCTTCCACATCTTCGCGCACCCCTCCCACGAACTGCTGGAAAAGGGCGAGCGCGCGGATGCCCACGCACAGCTCACCTTCAGCAGAGACATGTTTGTCGCCGCCCGAAAGTTTCTGGCTGCTATGGCTGTCAAGGCCTTTTCCCCGACCTCGCCAGCGTTTGATGCGAAGTGGACTCTGCGGCAGGCCGAGTACGTGACGTGGGCAGAGGTGGAGCCGTTTCTGGGCAGCTTTGAACTCTCGGATCTGGCGAAGGCGAAATTCCTGCGCGTGTTTCAGAGCCTCACGGTGCAAGGCGAGGCGTGGTATATGTTCAACCGGCTTGGCAATTGCGGTGGGGGCTTGCGGCGGGTGAAGCATGGGTTCTGTGAGCACTGGCTCCGGCTGGCAAGGGAAGCGGCCACTAAGCGGGTCGCACGCCAGCCCTCGTGCCTGTTTCTGATGCTAAAGAATGAGCACGGATCTGAACCCACGTGCATCGGTGCAGATGCCCAGTTTCCGGACAATTTCGGTCAATATCTTCGGGAAGCAATGGCTCTTAACGAATATCTTCCTACACATGCCTTGCGCTCCCTGATGCTTGCCGTCGCGTCCCTGGACTGGGGTCCTCAGCTTTCGCCCGCGCCGTCGACCGTGCTGCCCGCCATCGAAGATGCGGAGCGTCTGGGATCTCCGGCCCCAAGTGCCTGGGAGGTCGTGCGGATGGCCCATGTGCAGCTGCGGCTGGCATGTGACTTGGGCCCCGTGGCCGTGGAGCAGAACCTGGACACTACGCTGTTCCGTTTCGTGGCGAAGTCCCTTGGCTGGAAGCTGTGCGTGGTGCGCTTTGACAGGGAAACGGACAGTTTCGTTCCCGATGTCGAGAATGCAGACGAGATGGGGACCTTGGAGGAGCACCTGGACAGAGCCATGCAGGAAGCAAAGAAGGATGCAGAGGCTCGAGGGGTGATGATGCTAGTGCTGGACCTCCCCGAGACCCATGACCTTGACAACCATTGTGGCAGCTTGGAGCAGAAGCAGCGGGCGACCGTGCCCGTGCGCTTCGTCCTTTGCGAGTGCGCGTAACTCCGGGATCCCAACAGCCTCCGCCGATGTCTCCATGAGTCCGACGTCCCGCTTGTACATGTTGAGGACTCTGTCAAAGCACGCAAGCGTTCCTTGGAAAAAAAGGCGCGCTGCTGCGTGGCATGAGGTTCTGGTTCTGCCGCGTGCCTTAGGGACGTTGCGTTGGTCATGTCTAGGGCAGTGGACAAGACGACATTTGGCTATGTAGGAGCAAACTTAGATCAACAGCGTGCCTTGCGTCAACCCCTAGAAAAACAAGCTCTGCACACTTAGTCCCGACATGAAGGACCAAGTAAGAATATATAGGATGAAGGACGGGAAGCGCAACTCGACCCTTAACCGGGTTCAAGGGGTTTCGGGTTCAGGGTTTAGGTTTTAGGGCGTTTAGCATTTCTGGTAGTAAACCCTATCCCTGAACTTTCAACACTAAACCTGATGACAGTTGTAGAGGGGGCCAGCTTTGCTGGAAAAAAATGGAACAGACCCTCAATGCATTTGCAACTCGCAGCCCCTCAAAGGTCAAGGCACACAGCTTCCTCTTGCGTACCAACCACTGTGCTCGAGTGTTGGGCGCAACTAGGCTCCCGTGTTGGCCCCATCTTCGCTCACGTCTCCTGGGTCCGAGGCCATCGTGGATTGTCAGAACGCAGTTGGAGTGGTTTTCCAGCACATTGCCAGGTTTGGGGGGGGGGTCGGGGGGGGGGGGGGTGGGGGGGGTGGGGGGGGGGGGTGGGGGGGGGGGGGGGGGTGGGGGGATGGGGGGGGGGGGGTGGGGTGGGGGGGTGGGGGGGGATGGGGGGTGGTGGGGGGTGGGTTGGGGTGGGGTGGGGGGGGGTGGGGTGGGGGGTGGGGGGGGGTTGGGGGGGGGGGTGGGGGGGGGTTGGGGGGGGGGGGGGGGGGATAAGAACGTCAGTCGTATTGCATCCATGCCCAAAACACTGGTATTTACAGCGTTTTCGCCTCTTTCAACAAGGATGTGGAACAAGAAAATCTGTCACAAGCGTCCATGCCTTTCGCGACCATGCCCAAAACACTGGCATTTAGAGCATTTTATGCCGAAAACACTAGTATTTACAGCGTTTTCGCCTCTTTGTACAACATACTGCACAAGGACGTGGAACCAGAAAATCTGTCACAAGCGTCCATGCCGTCGCGACCATGCCCAAAACACTGGTATTTACAGCGTGCTATTGCCCAAAACGTTGGTATTTACTTACAGCATTACCCTGTAAAGCTAAACCTCAACATAAAACCCATGACCCGGGCCTCAAATCCAAAATATCTACCCCAAAACTACAGTGACAGCCATTTGACAAGAAACTAACTAGTCAAAGCATGCCCCCCCCCCCCCCCCCAAAAAAGACATAGTTTTGCTTAAGTGCTTAAAATCCACGCCTGCCGATGCTTTCTGCATGTCCTGAATTGTGTACATGCTTCTGTGCCACGCACGGGAACACGCCCCGAACCATGTAGCTGGGTGTGGGGGAGGTAGTGCAGTGATGAGGACAGTGAGACTTGCAGAGACTTGCTGAGAACTGCTGAGACCTGCTGCTGCTACTGCTGCTGCTGCTGCTGCTGCTACTGCTACTGCTACTGTTGCACTGCTGCCGCTGCTGCTGCTTGAAATCACGCTGTGGATCGAACATAAGCCCTGCATGGCGTTTGCAACCGCTTTCTTTTTTAGAGCAGCTCGTGCAGAAGCTGCTCGGTGAATCGTCAGGAAATACATCAAAGGCCTGAGCCAAAGCCCGGTAGTACCACAGGGGGGACGACATTGTCAACGTAACAGCCAGCACCACCTGTATGGTCCTTCAGGCCATCCATGCCTCAACTCCACAGTCTCCCGCCGAGACATCCTTGCGCTTCCACCAAGTTCCACCAAGGTTGCGAGGGCTCGAAAAGCCATGAGATGTGTGACCTTAAAAAGGGCGAAAGGATGCAAAAGCATGGACGCGACATGGATAGAACTAGGGAGGGGGGCTTAGCGTGGCGGAGGCGACGCTTTAGGGGGCCAGCATGGGCCTGTCATGGCATTTCGATGTCCTTCGGTGGGTCATCTGTGCAGTCGATGCTGCAGAAGTTGTTCGAGTGGCCAGGGCGTCAGACAGATCAAGCAAAGCGAGATATTTGACGGCAGGAGATTGCAGTGATGTCCTAAATTCCCATGATGATGCCGGCAAAACCAGCGAATTCCAACACCTGAGGTTGCAGTTCCTTTTCCTGCCACCATCGGGCCTGATTTGCAAGCTCTATTCTTGGAGTGGTGTGCAATCTGTGATGGGCCGACATCTTGGGTGGTCTCCATAGGTTTTCGACTAGCACCTTGAAGGGGAACCCAAAGCCCAGTCGGGTTTCCCTGACCACGATCCTGGGGTCGGACGACTGCAGCGGGTGCCCGGTGGGTTAGTGAGGTTAGTGTTGCGCACTTGCATGGATCCTTTGGAACTTTAGGCATCGTAATTCATTCTGTGATGCCAAGCCCCTAAACCCTAAATGCTGAGTTCTGTCGGTATTCTGTCCTGAGGCTTGGTGCTGCCACGGCCGTTGCCAGTCCCGGGCTTCTCCGGCGTGCGGTGCCATGGCCTTAGCCTTTCAGAATTTCTTTTTTCTCACTTTAGTCTTTGGCCGAGAAATCCTTCCATGCGCTACGTCGAAAGGAAGTGACGCTTTTGCACATCGCTTTGGACAGATTGAAAATTTGCAGACTGTCTTGACTTGCTCCACGGGAAC